TGCGACCCTCGCAGGCCTCCGAGCGCGCCGCGCTGCTCCAGAACGCAGGGAGAGGCCGCGGCCTGAGCAGTTCGTAAACCCTCGTGTGGGCTGTCGCGACAAAACCCCGCCGACGCGGGATCTCAGCCACGATTAGGGTCAAACCGTGGCTGAGTTTTTGGGCGATAAGGCCTTCAGGACAGAAGAAGATATTGCACGCGCGCCGTAGGCACCAAGACATTGTTGCTCTGATGCGCCAGAAAACCCACAAATAACAGGGTCCCTCAGGGATATATGGAACGGCCCGCGGCCGTTCCTAGGGGTGCGAACAATGGCAGAAACATCAGAACAACTCGGAGGTCCGCGCGGATTCCTCGGATCGGCGCTGAGGCCCCCCTGGCGGCGCCTCCGGCGCCGCCTCTGGCGCGCTCCGCGCGCCAGGGAGGGGGGTCCGGCGCAGATCCAAAAAATCTGCGCGGAGCGCCAAAAGTTTATGTTCATCGTTTTTGTTCCTCTTTCAGCGAGCGCGTTCCACCACTCGCAAGGTGCCTACTCGCAAACGCCCGAAAGCCACATCTCTGCCTCCATGCAGTATATCGTACACCGCCGGCGGCGGATCGTACCTCCGAGTTATTGTGCTTCTGCCATTTTTTTGTTCCCCTATACAGTGAGCGGCTTGACTAAGGAACACTTACTTTTCAAAAGGGGCTCGGTCGCTCCTTAGGCTTGCATGCGTTATTTACAGTTCCTTATGCGTTATGTATTATTGCGAAGGCCTTACGGCCGGTGCCGCCGACCCTGAATGGCGACGACGACGACGACGACGACGACGACGACGAGCGCTCTTGAGGGCCTCTTGGGGGTAGTTTGTGGGCCTCTTGGGAAGCTCTTAGGGGCCGCTTGGAAGCCTTGTGGGGGCCTCTTGGGGCTTCCTGGGGGTCTGTGGGAGGGGACCTGGGACGTCTTGGAGGCTTCTTGGACGGTCTTGAGGCTATCGTGGGCGTTTTCGGCCGATCTTTGGGCGACTCGGGGCCCTCTTGGGCCGTCTCGGGGGCCATCTTGGGCATCCGGACCTCATTTTGAGTGTTTTCGAGGTTTCTAGGCCGCCCGAGGGAAAACGAAATCTGACCCCCCCCCCCCTCCCCCCCCCCCCCTCCCCCCCCCCCCCCCCGGGACCCCCCCCAGGACCCCCCCCCCCGGGACCCCCCCCGGGACCTCCCCCCACCCACCCCGGGACCCCCCCCCCTGGGGAAGGGATCGAAGGGAAGGGGCTTCCCTTCGACTCGATTACGACACTGCTAGATCTTTCTCTCGCTCACGAGCTTGAGAAGGAAGCTGCAGGGAAAGGGGACAACGGAGGCGACGACCGACGGAGACGACGACTCGAACAGCCAAGCCCCTCGCACACGCCGACAGGCTCGGCGGATTTATCGCTCCTTATGCGTTATTCCTTGGGATAAGAAAGGGGCTTCGTTCCTTATTCATCGTTCCTTGGGTCAGGCCGACGACTATAAGTCTCAGGATGGAAAGAAACACACAGACACAATTCATCGTCGATTCCCCAGGAAATATGGGAACATATGGGAAGTGGGGGGAAGACCAAACCCCCAGAAAACATATAGGAAACTATGGGATCATCTTTTGATTTGTGTGTATACTTATTTGTGTGTCCTGGGGCCATATGGGAACATATGGGAAGTGGGGGGAAGACAAAACCCCCAGAAAACATGTGGGAAACTATGGGATAATATTTTTATTTGTGTGTACTTATTTGTGTGCCCTGGGGCCCCTTCACAAGGCCTCGGCGCACCAGGCGGCCACGCGCAGCGTCGCCCCGTGCATATGCCACTGCGGCCAAGTAGCTTCGTTCGCGCCCCGTTCGTTGTCGACTCGCTTCTTGACCTTCGCCAGGGAGCCGCCGACGAACAAATCCTTCCCATCGCGAGAGCGAGGCCGGCGAGCTCGCGCCCGCTCCCGGGGGCCCCTTCAGAGTCCGCGGCCGCCCTCCGCCGCTGGACACATCTACAGCACACGCGCGCGGGGCCCGCCGCTCGTGCGAGCGGCGCCCTGTGCCGCTCCGGGAGCGGCGGGGCGGCCGCCCGCCTGCGAGCGGAGAGCCCCCCGCGGGGCGGCGCGGGCTCAGCGCAGGAGGGGAAAAGACACACAGACACAATCAATCGTCGATTCCCCAGAATATCCCCAGAGGAGGAGGAGGAGGAGGAGGAGGAGGAGGAGGAGCAGGAGGAGGAGGAGAGGAGGAGGAGGAGGAGGGGGAGGAGGAGGCGGAGGAGGAGGAGGAGGAGGAGGAGGAGGAGGAGGAGCAGGAGGAGGAGGAGGAGGAGGGGAGGGGGAGGAGGAGGAGGCGGAGCAGGAGGAGGGCGGCGGAGGAGGAGGAGGAGGAGGAGGAGGAGGAGGAGCGCCTCCAATATCTTTCCCATCGCGAGAGCGAGGCCGGCGAGCTCGCGCCCGCTCTCCCGGGGGCCGCGCGCGCCCTCCGAGGGGCGAGGCGCGGCGCGCAGGCCTCGCGCGGGCCCTCCCTCGCCGGGCGGCGAGGGCCCGCGGCCGCCCGCCGACGTCGGGGGCGTCGCGCCGGCCCCTGTGGGGGACGATCAACGGAGGAGGAGGAGGAGGAGGAGGAGGAGGAGGAGGAGGAGGAGGCGGAGGAGGAGGAGGAGGCGGAGGAGGAGGAGGAGGGGGCAAACCCGGGGCCAGGTGGAGGGGCGCCTGCCGGCGTCGGGGGCGTCGCGCTGGCCCCTTGTGGGGGACGGTCGTCAGGAGGGGAAAAAACACACAGACACAATTCATCGTCGATTCCCCCGAAAATGTGGGAAAATAGGGGAACTGGGCGGGAAGACAACAAGCCAGGAAGATAGGGGAGAATAGGGGACATGTACTTTTATTTGTGTGTATTTCTTTGTGTGTCCCAGGGCCCCTTCACCAGCGCTGCACGCCAAGCCCTGCCGTCTGCGCCCTGCCGTCTACGCTGTTTTTGTTCCCCTACCTATAAGTCTCAGGAGGGAAAGAAACACACAGACACCATTAATCGTCGATTCCCTAGAAAATGTAGGAAAATATGGGAACTGGGCGGGAAGACAACAACCCAGAAATGGGAAACTATGGGGCATATACTTTTATTTGTGTGTATTTCTTTGTGTGTCCCAGGGCCCCCTCATCAGCGCTGCACACCAAGCCCTGCCGTCTGCGCCCTGCCGTCTACGCTGTTTTTGTTCCCCTACCTATAAGTCTCCGGAGGGAAAGAAACACACAGACACAATTAATCGTCGATTTCCCAGAACATATGGGAAAATATGGGAAGTGTGGGGGAAGACAGAAACCCAGAAAATAGGGGAAACTATGGGGAATCCTGTTATTTGTGTGTACTTATTTGTGTGTCCCAGGGCCCCTTCAGATCAACGGAGAGGAAGCACGCTGCCAAGTAGTTTCCAGATGCCCCGAGCATGTGCTAAGACTGTTCTCACCCTGCAGAAAAGCACGTCTCTTAAACTGTTCCAGGGCATCTTTCGACATTTTAACCACTTTTTTAACTTCGAGGATGGAGCCGCTGGTTGGGAGTCACGCCAGGGGGCGAGAGGTCCCCGGGCGGGTCGCTCCCCTCCGCTTTTTCCCAATCGGTGCGCTCTGAGTTCCACCTCGTCGTCCTCCTCCCTCCTCCTCCTCCTCCTCCTCCTCCTCCTCCTCCTCCTCCTCCTCCTCCTCCTCCTTGTTTTACTTCGAGGACGGGACTGTTAGGGTGTCCATCGTCGTGGCATCCACAACGCTGAGCAGAAACTTCTGGCTCCCCGCGCGGACTTCTCGGACCCGCGCCGGGGCCCCTCGCTCGGCGCCGCCCCTTGGCGCGCTCCGCGCGCCAGGGAGGGGGGGCCCGGCGCAGATCCGAGAAATTCCCGCGGAGCGCCAAAAGTTTATGTTTAGGGCGTTGTTTTTCGATCTTATCTGGCAGCACTCCACGTACGCGTTTGTGGCTCTCCTTCGATAGCAAATCACGGGGGCCTGGTAGATCCTCTCAATTCCGTCTTCAGCGTCGATGAGCGTCGATGAGCGTCCGGGAGTCGATGAGATAGCGGCGGTTCAGCGTCGACGAGCGTCGATTCAGCGTCGATTAGCGTCAACTGGCGTCGATTAGCGTCGATTCGCAAGAGCCGACAAGATGGTGTGGGATGATCCCATGAGTTGCCACCGAACTCTCCGTTGCATATGGCACCGATCTGCTCCAGCATCCGTCGCTGGCCTCGACCCTCGGCTCGCTCCAGCATGCGGGCTCCTCGCACGCCCCTCTCTCCCCTACTGCGTCGGCGTGCTCCAGCATGCGGGGCAGCTCCGCGCGCGCGTCTGCTTGCCGTGGTGTTCGACACCAGTTCGCTCCAGCTTCCCTTGCTGGCCTCAGCTCGCTCTGACCTCCGGGCGCTGCCACGCTGGCCGCCAGCCCTTGCCGAGCGTCTGACGGCGCCCTCGCGCAGCGCGGTGTGGAGCGCGCCACTCTGCTGTCAGGGCCCCCCATCGACAGCGATGGAGCGCCCTCGCGCCTGGGATCCGTCGTCGAGGCATTGGGGAGGAGCAGCGTTCAGTCGTCGCAGCTCGTGCTGTTTTTCTGGTTGGGCCTGCTGCTGCTGGAGGGAGGGAGGAGGCGCGGCAGAGCACGTTAGGGAGAGGCCGAGGCGGTGGAAGAAGATGGAGGAGGAGGAGGAGGAGGTTGAGGAGGAGGAGGAGGAGGAGGAGGAGGAGGAGGAGGAGGACGAGAGGGAGGCAGAGGAGGAGAACGAGGAGGAGGAGGAGGAGGAGGAGGAGGCTGCCGGGGATGAGAAGGAGGAGGAGGAGGGTACGTGGACGAGCTGGAAATGGAGGATGCGGATGCGGTTGAGGATGTTAAGCAGGAGATGATGCAGGAGGGGGGCGGAGGGTGAGGAGGAGGAGGAGGAGGAGGAGGAGGAGGAGGAGGAAGGATGAGGCACGATGAGGCGGAGGTGGATGAGGAAGGCGTCAACCGGGCCTGGCCCGCCCAAAGGCAGTCCGCGCCGCCCAGCGCGGTGGTCCAAGACGAACCAGAGCCAGAGGAGTCTCTCGACGCTGGCGCCGACGCAGAGTCCCAGGTCGGCGGCGTACAAAGGAAGTCTCGCCTTCGTAATCGTCCTTCATCTTTCTTCCTATGAGCAACTCCCCCCTGTTGCACTACCAGAGGTGTCCGTAGGCCAGGCAAGGCGCTTCGCATGAGGCCCCCAGACAGCCCATTACATATATATATATATATATATATATATATATATCCTGAAGCCACTGCCCCAACGTGGTTTGCAAAAAAGGGCTCCCGCTTTTGCGCCTCACACGGTCCTTTCCAATGCGTCCAACACTTACACAAGGATGGAGGCTTTTCCTTCATGAAATGAGGTTCTCGCTTGTGTGCCACGCAAATTCGTTCACGGATGGAGGGGGGGCGGTCAGAATGCGGTTCTCGCCTCGTCGCCGCGCGCATTCGTGCTTCAAGCTTCCAGCGGCTATGCAGCGGGCTCTTTTTCAACACGCGGTTATCTTTTGAGACCTCCTGTATTCCCATGGCCAGCAGATTTGAGGCGTGCTTCAACTGTGCGGACGGAAGTTCCCGCTCGATGCTCCCGCAGACATCACGACCAGAACCTCTGATGCAACACTCAGACGGGCGGAGGGCTGATCCTCTGCCGGACGCGGCTGCTTGTGGGCACAGTATTGCTTCACGCACGTTTGCCACCGTCTAACATCCTGCAGGTTTGCGTTTCTCTTCGCTTTTGGGATTTTGTCGGGCCTGTCCCTCTACAGGAGGAATATTCAAAAATAGTCAAAAATAGTCGGGGACTATGTTTAAACTATGTTTGAGCATTTTGGGGGTATGTTGGGGGTATGTTTAATTTGTCGCTGGAAATCCCCTTGCAGGGGGACGTGCCCGACTTAATCCTAGGATAGAAGATGGTGTGCTCACGTCTCCCACCGTGTGCTCGTCACTCAGGGGGGGGGGGCGCTCCCAGCAGTGCAAGGGAATAATTTGTAGGGACTGGGTGAGGAGGGGACTTGCGACGGAAGGTCGTAATGCAGCATCGTTGATGCAGTTTGGGCTTATTCGGGTTTTCCTCCTCGTTCTCCTCCCTCTTCTGAGGCCTCCCGCTCCAGAGAGCTTCTCGTGACCTTCGGGGGTTTGCGGACACCTGCGGCGACCTCTCCAGGCACCTTTTGGAGCCCCCTCCTCTTCCTCCTTGCTCCTCCTCCCTCTTCTCCCTCCTCCCCACCCTCCTCCAGCCTCTCCAGAGGCCTTCCGAGGCCTCGGGAATGTTCCGCGGTATGTTATGCCCTTCAGCACCTCCCGAGACCTTTGGAGAGCTCCGCGACTTCCAGAGACCTCAAAGGCCTTCTCATCCTCCTCTTCCTTCTCCTCCTCCTCCTCCTCCTCCTCCGCTCACCCCCCTCACCCTAATTATATTCCACGCACATTTCCGCGCAAGGAGACAGGCATGGGCGCGCGCGCCCCCGTAATCGGCCTGCGTCAGGTGCTGTCGCCAAGTCCTCCCCTGTTTCCTGCGTGAGGGCCTCTTGTTTTCGACGCCCAGGTGCCCTCGGTGAGGAGGGAGAAGAGCTCTGGCAGGTTGAAAAGGGAGAAGAGTGCTGGCGCTGTCGGCGGAGCAGAGGCCACCGCGCCGCCCGCGCAGATGGAGGTGCAGATCTCCTGCGTGGTGACGAACGTCAGTTACGACGCGCTCAAGGCGGACGCAGGCCTGCTCGGGAAGTTCGAGGCAGTCATGAAGCAGGCCCTTGCCGAGGAGTGCGGCAGCGGCGTAACGCCAGAGAGCATTCGGCTGGCGCTCTCCGCGGGCTCGGTGAAGGTGCCCAGGGCAGCGGAAAAAGTTGTGATTGTTGAGGTTCGCCCCCCGCCCCCTCCTGGTGCCCCCTCCCGGGCCCCCTTCCCGGTTCCACAACGAGGAGGCTTATCCCATCATCCTTTGTGAAAACCACCCCGCCCCAGCACCTGAGGGTCCGTTGTACCACTTTCCTTAGGACCCTTTACCACTTACAATCGTTCCACCACCACCACGGGTAGTCGTTCTACCACTTAGCCAGGTGGCCGTTCAACCAATCACCCACGGGGCCGCTCTACCACTCACCGTTTACGTTTCGGAGACACTTTGTTTTGCAGATTTTGGTCCTGAGTAATTAAACTTGGGCAATTCTCGGGGTCAAGGTTGCAAGGGCGAAAAACCAAGCTTTGTTTCAAAATTGACAATGGTCTAATTCTAGACGCTTCGAGTCACCCCACCAGCCCATCCAGAAACGATGCCCAGGCGAGCTGCTCTGATCAGGGATGTGGAGGAACGTGCAGTGGAATACAGGACCCGAGAAGCCGTCATACCCCATGAGGGGAATGATGAAGGAGGAGGAGGAGGAGGAGGAGGAGGAGGAGGAGGAGGGGGAGGGAGAGGGGGAGGGGGAGGGAGAGCAGGAAGGGTAGGCGGATGAGTAAGGAGGAACAGGAGGACGAGCAGAATGGGCAGAGGCCTCTTGGATGCCTCTTGAAGTCTCTTCGGATGTCTCTTGAGATCTTCTTGTGGTCCTCTTGGGGCGCCTTGGGGGCCTCTTGGCGGTCCCGGGGGGCCTCTTGGTGGCCCCGGGGGGCCTCTTGGAGCGTCTCAGCTGCCTCCGGGGAGCCTTCTGAGGCCGCTTGGGGGACTCGGGAGCCTCTTGGGGCCCTCTTGGGGCCTCCTTGGGCTCTTTGGGGGCCCTCTGGTGGCACTCCCGGAAGCCTTGGGGGGCCATCTTGGGGCCGTCTTGGCGGAGAGTGGGTCTGAGAAGAAGGGGTGCTTGATTACAGTCGGCCCGGATTAGGAGGTCGACCCTGCCAAATCAAGGTTGCCCTTGTGTCCTGTGTCTCGCGACCCATGCCTCCTACACCTTAGGCGATGCTTAAGAAAACTTAAGTTTTCGGCCAGAGTCTCGATTATTCTTAATGTTCCAATGTAAACCCCAAGATTTTATTAGAAATGTTGGGTTTTTCTTCCAGTTCTGAGACTATGAATTTCTTAACCCATGATTTCTTAAGCATTTCGCAGGGTGTACATTCCTGTGGCGATGTGGCCCTCGGAAGGGTCTTGTGTCCTCTCGCGTGTCCTGCCCAAGCAGGTCCGACCGTAGCCCCCCCCACGCCCAGGATGTCAACATGGGCCCCAAACCTTCTAACATCAATCCTTTTGTGCCTTCGCGCAGAGGCCTTCCTGGACGCTCCAACCCCTCGCGCCCCCCCAAAAAAACTGTTTGGGAGGGGCGGGGGGGGGAAAGGGGGGCACCCCTACCCAAAGGGAAGAGGGATTTGAGAAGAGGAATTTCCTCTTCTAAAATCCCTTTGTCTTTGACTTTCAAGTCCTTTTGGTCTGACGATCTTTGACTTTCAGAGTCAAAGATCGTAAGACCACCTACGCCTACAGGGCTGGTGGGATTAGAACGGCTCAATACTAAAATGTTAAGTTGATTTGTGGACAGGTTTCAAGACGTTTCAGACATGGCCAGGGAGTGGCGCCATGAACAGGCAAGTACACAAGGAACGATCCAGTCGAGCGGTGGGCCCACCTGGTAGAACGGTGCCTCGGATCCGTGGAAGACATGCTCATCTGTGAAGCGGGAGAACGATTTCCAATAAAGGGGGGTCGGTGGACATCCGTCCCCCGCCCCCCCTCGGCAAATTCTCTGGGAGACCCGTTTGGAATGTGTCGGGCTCCACCCTCGTCCGGGCGGCGCGCCCCGCGGGGCAGCGCACCGAGCTCGTCTTCGGCGCGCCCGCCCCGAACGGAGGCAGCCGCTGGGGAAAATCCGGCGGCTCACGCGGATGACATGTTGGACCTCGCCCCCGCCAGACAAAAACACTTCCATCGGGGGGCCACATGCGAACCCTACCCCTACCCCCCACGATTTCCGAGGGGGAGGGTGGGGCTCGCTTCATTCGGGAGCTCCCGAGCGAAGCGAACCCCAGCCTCCCCCTCAGAAATCGTGGGGGGTAGGGGTAGGGTTCGCATGTGGCCCCCTATTCCAGGGTAGCCTGCCGCGCTAACCTATCACGCCCGCCAGGGCAGCAAAGCTCGCGGAGTCCATGGCGCCGGGGCGTGGCAGATTTCGGGTGATCCACCCGCGGGTGGGTCACCCGTGAGCCTGTGAGGTCCTGTGATGTGAGAGACTAAGCAGAACGTGTCGCGTGGCACTGTGTCGCCTCATGTTAAGGTCCAGCATGGAAGTTGAACCGTCGGTTTTCTCTAGCCAGTGATGGCGCCGATGCTGATCACGTCGGCGACGATGATGGCGTCCTCGAGTCGGTGATGAAGCTTTGGGAGGAGTTCGACCTGCGCGCGAAGCTGATGCGCGAGAGTGGCCCGCCTGGTACTAGCCGGCCGCTCTGCGGTTGATCGGGAGTTTCTGTATATAGAAGAAGGTGCGTGCGCCTGTTGGTGAGGGTGAGGATGAGGTCCTCCTCCTCCTCCTCCTCCTCCTCCTCCTCCTCCTCCTCCTCCATCCTTCTCTTGCCTCCGTCTGTCCTCCTCCACCCCGCAGCTCCATCATCCTCCTCCTCCTCCTCCTCCTCCTCCCTCCTCCTCCTCCTCCTCCTCCTCCTCCTCCTCCTCCTCCTCCTCCTCCTCCTCCTCCTCCTCATTCCTCCTCTGGGCACCTCCCCCGGGGCGCGGATCCACCGGATCTGTCCGGATCTGTCCGGAAACGGTGCCGGAGGCCGCTCTGGGCTCCTCTGGGCACCTCCCCCGGGGCCGGTTTTGTGAGGATGTCTCAAGCGAGGGCGCCGGTTTGGGATTCGTCGGCGGATCCACCGGATCCAGCGGATCTGTCCGGAAACGGTGCCGGAGGCCGCTCTGGGCTCCTCTGGGCACCTCCCCCGGGGCCGGTTTTGTGAGGATGTCTCAAGCGAGGGCGCCGGTTTGGGATTCGTCACCGGATCCAGCGGATCCACCGGATCTGTCCGGAAACGGTGCCGGAGGCCGCTCTGGGCTCCTCTGGGCACCTCCCCCGGGGCCGGTTTTGTGAGGATGTCTCAAGCGAGGGCGCCGGTTTGGGATTCGTCACCGGATCCAGCGGATCCACCGGATCTGTCCGGAAACGGTGCCGGAGGCCGCTCTGGGCTCCTCTGGGCACCTCCCCCGGGGCCGGTTTTGTGAGGATGTCTCAAGCGAGGGCGCCGGTTTGGGATTCGTCGGATCCACCGGATCCAGCGGATCTGTCTGGAAACGGTGCCGGAGGCCGCTCTGGGCTCCTCTGGGCACCTCCCCCGGGGCCGGTTTTGTGAGGATGTCTCAAGCGAGGGCGCCGGTTTGGGATTCGTCGGCGGATCCACCGGATCCAGCGGATCTGTCCGGAAACGGTGCCGGAGGCCGCTCTGGGCTCCTCTGGGCACCTCCCCCGGGGCCGGTTTTGTGAGGATGTCTCAAGCGAGGGCGCCGGTTTGGGATTCGTCACCGGATCCAGCGGATCCAGCGGATCCAGCGGATCTGTCCGGAAACGGTGCCGGAGGCCGCTCTGGGCTCCTCTGGGCACCTCCCCCGGGGCCGGTTTTGTGAGGATGTCTCAAGCGAGGGCGCCGGTTTGGGATTCGTCGGCGGATCCACCGGATCCAGCGGATCTGTCCGGAAACGGTGCCGGAGGCCGCTCTGGGCTCCTCTGGGCACCTCCCCGGGGCCGGTTTTGTGAGGATGTCTCAAGCGAGGGCGCCGGTTTGGGATTCGTCGGCGGATCCACCGGATCTGTCCGGAAACGGTGCCGGAGGCCGCTCTGGGCTCCTCTGGGCACCTCCCCCGGGGCCGGTTTTGTGAGGATGTCTCAAGCGAGGGCGCCGGTTTGGGATTCGTCACCGGATCAGCGGATCCAGCGGATCTGTCCGGAAACGGTGCCGGAGGCCGCTCTGGGCTCCTCTGGGCACCTCCCCCGGGGCCGGTTTTGTGAGGATGTCTCAAGCGAGGGCGCCGGTTTGGGATTCGGTCACCGGATCCACCGGATCTGTCCGGAAACGGTGCCGGAGGCCGCTCTGGGCTCCTCTGGGCACCTCCCCTGGGGCCGGTTTTGTGAGGATGTCTCAAGCGAGGGCGCCGGTTTGGGATTCGTCACCGGATCCAGCGGATCCAGCGGATCCAGCGGATCTGTCCGGAAACGGTGCCGGAGGCCGCTCTGGGCTCCTCTGGGCACCTCCCCCGGGGCCGGTTTTGTGAGGATGTCTCAAGCGAGGGCGCCGGTTTGGGATTCGTCACCGGATCCAGCGGATCCAGCGGATCCACCGGATCTGTCCGGAAACGGTGCCGGAGGCCGCTCTGGGCTCCTCTGGGCACCTCCCCCGGGGCCGGTTTTGTGAGGATGTCTCAAGCGAGGGCGCCGGTTTGGGATTCGTCACCGGATCCAGCGGATCCACCGGATCTGTCCGGAAACGGTGCCGGAGGCCGCTCTGGGCTCCTCTGGGCACCTCCCCCGGGGCCGGTTTTGTGAGGATGTCTCAAGCGAGGGCGCCGGTTTGGGATTCGTCACCGGATCCACCGGATCCAGCGGATCCGTCCGGAAACGGTGCCGGAGGCCGCTCTGGACTCGTGCTCGTTTCGCCGGGGGTGAGGATGACGTGAGTTCCACAGAAACTCCTTCAAATTATTTGAAACGGATCGTGTTCCCCAGCACGCGCGCAAGGGCGTCCGAATGATGTCGACATGCGGCGCGAAAGGCCCGCTTGGCCAGATGCAATGAAAGTTGTGGGAAAAGAACCTACGGTTTTATGGAGAATTCGCTAGAGCGCGAGCGCAGCTTTGTCAGAGTGAGGGGGCCGAACGGTCATTCACTGTCCCTGGGTGCGTGGCTGATGTGGAATTCCGCGGTGCGGATTCTTGTTGTTGTTGTTTGTTGTTGTTGTTGTTTGTTGTCGTCGTCCCACCCGCAACCCGCCCCGCGACCCACCCGCGACCCACCCCGCGACCCACCCCGCGACCCACCCGCGACCCACCCGCGACCCACCCGCGACCCACCCCGCGACCCACCCCGCGACCCACCCCGCGACCCACCCCGCGACCCAACCCGCGACCCACCCCGCGACCCCCCCGCGGCCCACCCCGCGACCCACCCGCGACCCACCCGCGACCCACCCGCGACCCACCCGCGACCCAGCCGCGACCTACCCCGCGACCCACCCGCGACCCACCTTCGACCCAAACCACGTTCAAGGTACAAACCACAATTTTCGGCGCCTGCGGCGGGCTTTTTTGCATTCCTTCCAAGTGGAGAGCCCGCGACACATCCCGTGACCAACTCGCGACCAACCCGCGACCCAAACCACGTTCAGGGTACAAACCACATTTTTCGGCGCCTGCGGCGGGCATATTTCGCATTCGTTTCAGGTGGAGAGCCCGCGGCCCACCCGCGACCACGTTCAGGGTACAAACCACATTTTCGGCGCCTGCGGCGGGCATCCTTTGCATTCGTTCCCTGTGGAGAACCCGCGGCCCACCCGCGACCCAAACCTCGTTCCGTGTACGAACCATTTTTTTTGGCGCTTGCGGCTGGCTGCTTTTGCATTCCTTCCAGGTGGAGGCGGAGAGCCCGCGACCCACCCGCGACCTAAACCACGTTCACTGAACAAACCAACGCCGCACAAGCGCGGCGGCGGATTCTTGCATGCCGTCTGAGCCCGCAAGGACCTCTTCACGCCCCGCACATCCACGCCAGCCCGTCCAGCAACTTTGCCCTGGCGAGTTGCCTTGATCAGAGAAGGCGGGGAGCATAAAGTGGAAAAAAGATTGCGTTGCAGTTATCTTGGGAAAGGAGGGGGAGGCAGGATGAGTAAACAGGGGACGAGGAGAACGTGGAAGAAGAGAGGGTGTAAGGAGAACGTGGAGAAAGAAAAGGAGGAGGAGCAGGAGGACGAGGGGGAGGAGGGGGAGGAGGGGGAGGAGGAGGACGAGGAGGGGGAGGATGGGGAGGATGATGATGATGGACGACAATGGGAGGACGATGATGGAGGCCGATGAGGGGAAGGACGACGATGGGAGGACCATGATGAAAAGACGAGGGGGGGGAGAGGGAGGACGAGGAAGAAGAGGAGGAGGAGGAGGAGGACGAGGTGGAGGAGGAGGATGACGATGACGATGAGGACGAGGAAGAGGAGGAGGAGAAGGAGGAGGAAGAGGAGGAGAAGGAGGAGGAGGAGGAGGTGGAGGAGAGCGCCATCGACAAGGGAGGTGGGGGCCACGAGGTCCGCCGGCTCGACGACGCCCGCGTCGCCCGCGCCCGCCCCCTCACTCTTATCCGCAATTGCGGGGTGCTACGATAGTGATAAAATGTTTCCGGAGCGCTCGATTTTGACATCCTCACTTTAAGAAGGATTTCGGCATGCGTGCGCGACGCGCGCGCGTGCACTTCGTCCCTTTTTTCTGGGAACGGATTCTTGCGACAGCACGCGCGCAAGGGCATTCAAGAAATTTCGACATGCTCGCGCGAGAGGCCAATTTGGTAGCATGTCATGAAAGTGTTCCAAAGCCCATGGTTTTCTTACGACTTCGCAAAAGCGCGCAAAGTTGTTTTGAATTCTGTCGCTGCGAAGCCATATGTGTGTATCTCTCTCTCTCATATATATATATATATATATATATATATGTGTCTGTTTTCGGGGCACTCGATTTTGAAATCCTTCCGAAACCTAGTGTTGTTTAAAGACTTTTGGCATGCGCGCGCGACGACGCTCGTGTGCGCAAGTCGCCTTTTTTTGCAAGGGATTATTGTGGCTTATGGTTCTGTTATTATGGCTTATGGTTTTTGATAAAGGGATGCACGCGCATAGCATTTGTTGCAGAGGACAAGGGGGGGGAACGACACCGGCCTGCCTGGAATATAACGAGTTCATATTTAGGATGGACGATGGGGCAGAACCACATGCACATTGCAACTCAAGAAATGGAGCGGGTAAATCTGGGGGGGGGGGGGGTAGGTCCTAATATTCCCTTAGACAAGAGAATATATGTGGAGCAATCCATGTGAAACAATTGATTTTTGCATCCGAGTTGACCAAGTCCATGCTCTGACAAACATCCCACACACCCGCGCGCGGTTTGCAAAAGCCATGCGGCGGCGATTGCGATGAGTGCTTGGCGTTGGATGGTGCATCTCTGCGGCCGCGCTAGCCCGCATACTCGCGCGCGCAGCGGCCAGCTAGTTTGGTCCGACCGACGCTTTTGCGGTGGCGCTGACCGATGGGGACTTCCCAGCGGGCACTTCAGCGCGAGTCGGTGACTTGGGCGGGCGCGGTCTCATGGCGATGCCGGCGACGGTAGGCACGATTATGTCAGTAGCCATGATGGTAACGATGGTGGCGATGACGACGGCAAGGCCAATGACGACGCCGATGTTGATCACACGCGCCGATAACGATGACGATGTCCTCGCATCGGCGATGTTTTTTTTTTTTTTTTTTTTTTAAAAGAAGTTCGACATGCGCGCGCGGCCTATTCGCGCGAATGGCCCGCGCAGTATGATTTGAAACGGATCGTGGTGCCCCGCCCCCAGCGCACGCGCAAGGGCCTTCGAATGAGTTCGGCATGCTGCGCGAGATGTCCGTTTGGCAGAATGTGATGACAATGTTGAAAACCCGATGGTTCCCTTGAGAATCCGCAAGACCGCGAGCGCCGTTTCTTTTTTGTTTGTTTCGGAAACTGGTGTTGCAAGGCCATGTGTTGTGATATGTGTTCAGGACATTCGTCTCTTGAGAGCCTTGCGAATCCAACTTTTTTTGGGGATTTCGACATGCGCGCGACGACTCGCGCGTGCTCACGTGGTCCCGTCTTTTGCAAGGGATGCCTGCGACAGCACGCACGCAAGGGCGTTCGAGTGTTTTTGACATGCGCACGCGAGAGGCCCATTTGGGAACATGTAGTGGAAATGTTGAAACCCCATGGTTTTCTTAAGAACTCGCAAGAGCGCCGGCGCGGGTGTTGTTTTGATGAACCTTGTTGCGAAACTGTGTATTATTTTACGTGGCTTCGGAGTATTCGATTTTGAAATATGTTCGAAACCTCATGTGTTTGATAGACTTCGGCATGCGCGCGCGACGACGCGCGCGTGCGCACTTCGTTTCATATGTTGCAAAAGGATCTGGGAAACTTAACATGTTTGATAAACGAGTGCGCGCGCGTAGTGTCTGCTGCAGAGGACGAGGGGGAGAACCGATACCGGCCTGCCGGGGATGGTGTGACGATGGGGCAAAATCATATGTAAATAGCAATGCGTAAAGGTGGCCCCTGTTAACCCTGGAGGCGGCGACGGCGACCACATAGCCGCCTGACCGCCACACTGGCCCAGACGAGGGGCGGCGACGAGGCGGCGACGGGGCGGCGAGAGCGACAACATAGCCGCCAAACCGCCCAGGCTGCGAAGAGGCGGCGGCGACGGGGCGACGGCAGCGGCTACATAGCCGCCAAACCGACACACCAGCCCAGACGATGGGCGGCGACGAGGCGGCGACGGGGCGGCGACGGCGGCTATTCAGCCGCCGGACCGACACATCAGAACAGTTCTTGAGTAAGAAGTAGGAGCCCCTAAGTGCAAGCATTGTTTGGGGAATAAGGTTGGTTGATCCATTGATTTTTCCGTTGGGGCGCCCGCTTCTCGGGAACCGGGGAGGTTATTCTCCTTATCCTCATTGCGATTTCCAGGCAAGTGGGAGATCAAAACAGAAAGGGTAAGTGGTAGAATGGCCCTTTCGCTAGGTGGGAGAACGGGGCAGTTATTCTTTCAATTTGCGCACTGGCGCCCCTCAGGTGCAGGCGACCATCCTCCCGCCCTCTGGAGCTGAGGCGACCGCCATCGCCGCCAGCCTGAAAGCCTCCGACAAGCTCTGCCCCAAAATCCAGGCACTGGTGGAGGAGCTGCTCCGAGACGCCGAGGGCCTCAAGGAGAACGCCGACGCCGCCATCTCGGTCGGCAGCGTGACGGAGCCCGCGGTCGTGGGCGCCGCGGCCGCCGCCGCCGAGGGCGCCCCTGCAGACGAGGGGAGCGCGGCCGCGGCGGCAGACCCGGACGCGGCCCCCGCGTCGCCGGACGGCGAGCCCGAGGGCGGCCGGCGGAAGAAGGCGAAGAAGGAGAAGAAGGAGAAGGGCCGTCGGCCCTCGAGGACCGGCAGGGTCGTCGTCGAGGAGGGCGGCGGGAGCCGCCCCCACTCCAGCGAGGGCCCGCGCCAGCGCCGCCCCTCCAGGGACGCCGCCAGCGCGGAGGAGGGCGAGGAGGGCAGGGCGGGGGAGCGCGCGCGCAGGAAGAGGGAGAAGAAGGACAGAGAGGCGGCCGGGGAGGAGGAGGCGGCCGCCGACGAGGATGCCAGGGGGGGGGCCTGGCCGACGCCTAGCAGACCATCCCCCTCCGTGACGTCCTCCTCGCCTCGCCCCAAGAAGTGTGTGTGTGTGTGTGTGTGTGTCTGTGTGCGTCTGTGTGCGTCTGTGTGTGTCTGTGTGTGTCTGTGTGTGTCTGTGTGTGTCTGTGTGCGTCTGTGTGCGTCTGTGTGCGTCTGTGTGTGTCTGTGTGTGTCTGTGTGTGTCTGTGTGTGTCTGTGTGTGTCTGTGTGTGTCTGTGTGTGTCTGTGTGTGCTGTGTGTGTCTGTGTGTGTCTGTGTGTGTCTGTGTGTGTCTGTGTGTGTCTGTGTGTGTCTGTGTGTGTCTGTGTGTGTCTGTGTGTGTCTGTGTGTGTCTGTGTGTGTCTGTGTGTGTCTGTGTGTCTGTGTGTGTCTGTGTGTGTCTGTGTGTCTGTGTGTGTCTGTGTGTGTCTGTGTGTGTCTGTGTGTGTCTGTGTGTGTCTGTGTGTGTCTGTGTGTGTCTGTGTGTGTCTGTGTGTGTCTGTGTGTGTCTGTGTGTGTCTGTGTGTGTCTGTGTGTGTCTGTGTGTGTCTGTGTGTGTCTGTGTGTGTCTGTGTGTGTGTGTGTCTGTGTGTCTGTGTGTCTGTGTGTGTCTGTGTGTGTCTGTGTGTGTCTGTGTGTGTCTGTGTGTGTCTGTGTGTGTCTGTGTGTGTCTGTGTGTGTCTGTGTGTGTCTGTGTGTGTCTGTGTGTGTCTGTGTGTGTCTGTGTGTGTCTGTGTGTGTCTGTGTGTGTCTGTGTGTGTCTGTGTGTGTCTGTGTGTGTCTGTGTGTGTCTGTGTGTGTCTGTGTGTGTCTGTGTGTGTGTGTGCGCGTGCGTGCGTGCGTGCGTGCGTGCGTGCGTGCGTGCGTGCGTGCGTGCGTGCGTGTGTGTGTGTGTCTGTGTGTGTCTGTGTGTGTGCGTGTGTGTGTGTGGTTGGTGTGTGTGGTTTGTGTGGGTGGTTTGTGTGGGTGTGGGTGTGTGTGTGTGTGAGTGTGTGGGTGTGCGTGTTCGTGCGTGTGTGTGTGTGTGGTGGGGGGGTTATGTGTGTGCGTGTGCGTGAGCGTGTGCGTGTGCGTGTACGTGTATCTTTGTGTGTTTGTGTCTTTGTGTGTTTGTGTGTGTTTGTGTGTTTGTGTTTGTGTGTGTGTCTGTGTCTGTGTCTGTGTCTGTGTCTGTGTGTGTGTGTGTCTGTGTCTGTGTCTGTGTCTGTGTCTGTGTCTGTGTCTGTGTCTGTGTCTGTGTGCGGCCCGAGGGGAGCTCGAAAGGCGAGGATGGCGTCACGGAAGGGGATGGTTAACTAGGGGTCGGTTAAGCCGCGCCCGAGGATGCCGAGAAGAGGCCGAAGGACCGGACGCGGAAAAAGAGGGATTCTGACAGGCCCCCGCACTTGGTACCCGCGCAGGCGCCAGAGGAGTCCAGCCAGTCTCCTGCACCCGCGGCGGACAGGCGGAGTGGCATGGGCAAGTCGCTGAAGAAAAAGGACCTCAAAGCCAGCAGGAGCCCGAGCGAGCGCCAAATGCGCAAGGAGAGATCTGACGCCGGGATGGGGGCAAAAGAGCCTCCTGGCGCAACCCACGAGTTGGACCTCAGCACGGCCATGGGGTTGCCGGCCGCCTCCGCATTCGCAGGCATGTACGGCGGTTTGCCCGGCACTGGTTTGCGCGGGCTGGCAGAGACCAACGACAGGCTGCCAGAGTTGGTCGGGAGGCCATCTGCCAACAACTTCAAGTCCCCCGCTTATGTGAGGAAAGCGTACCGTCATGGCACTGTCGGAGTGGGGCCGCCGTACTTCCTGAACGAGCCTGAGCAGGAGTACTCGCCGAATTGGACGTGTGCCCGCTTGATGGACGCCGCGCTCGAGACGGAAGACTGGAGGCGCTGCTACAGCTCCATAGCAGACAAGATTGGGCCAGTCAGCAAGCTGTCCAGATTGGGCCCCGACAGGTCCATCCGCAAGGTCGGCAGCGTGGGCATGGGCAGGAGCGTCTCGCTGCCCCGCCTGAAGCAGGACGGCAGGAGGACGCTGATGCAGCCAGGGGAGCTCGGCGGGCACAAATCGGTCCAGCGTAACGCCTCCGTTGTGGAGGGCGGCTGGCCCAGGGGCGGCCGCAAACTCGACCCCACCGTGCGTCACGATGGGGGCACGGAGTCTCTGGCCACCGCCGGGCGGTCGTTCCCCAGGGCAGAGGCAGTTATGTAACTCCACACGCCTTGCTTGCACCGCTCGCCCCCGTCGTTCTGGCAGTCAGCCGAAGACGGCCCCGAGGCGGCCCGAGACAGGCCGAAAGGACTCTAGGAGGGACCCTGCAGGAGGTCATGCCAAAAAACGATTCTTGGGCGAGCTGTCGTCAGAAGGGGTCTAGAGGAGCATTCGTGAAAGAACGAGGGCGGGCGCCAGCCAAGTCACAAGAGGGGGCAGCTCAAGCAGGTCGTCGAGATGACACATTGATGTGCCAGCACTAACTTAGTGCAGCTTGCAAGTATTGACGCTTCGCGTATCCCCACCAGCCCATCCGTAAACGATGCGAAGACAAGTTGACCTGATCAGGGAAGAGTACAGTCAAGCCACTGCAATAAGGACCACCTTGGGCTCAGGAGGGGCTGAGGTTTTCGGGCCGTTCCTTTGATCTAGGTCGGGGAACCTACTCGAAGCCGATGCTCGCCGTGGCCAGAAAAGCCCAATCGTTCCTCCTTTAGCGTTCCTTCTGGTAGGACGCTGACCGTAGGGGCATGCTGTTGAGCAGACGGATGGGTCAGCCGTCAAGCACAAGCTCGGAGTCAGCCTGAGCACACCCAGGAGTGGCATAGCCGAGCCTGCCGTCGAAGAGGGATGGGCCTGCGGAGGAGAAAAGTGGAGAAGGAGGAAGGGGAGGAGGGAGGAGGAAGAGGAGGGAGGAGGAGGAGGAAGAGGCGGAGGAGGAGGAGGAGGGGGAGGAGGAGGAGGAATTGGGAGGAAAGCTGCGACGACGACGGTCTTAACGAGGAGGAGGAGGAGGAGGAGGAGGAGGAGGAGGCGGAGGAGGAGGAGGAGGAGGAGGAGGACGACGACGACGACGACTACGGCATGAGTCGACCGTGAAGAGTGAACCTTTCTCGCTAAAAAGTCTCCTGGAGCCCTCCTGGGGCTATTTTGGGAGCATTCGGGGCCCTCTTGGAATTCTTTTTGGGGCCTTGGCAATCCCAAGAGCGCCCTGAGAGGGCCCCAGGAGGAAGCGCGTTTGATTGGCGCCTGGTTGAAAAGCATTTGCAGAGGGACCTCCCAAACCAGGATCCTTCCCCCTCCCCTTTCCCCCGACAACCCCTCCCCCCCCTCACCCCCCCCTCCCCCTGTGCAGAGAAGGAGGGAGGATTACGACCGCGTCGTCGCGCTGGCAAACACGACAACGCGCTGCTCGTCGTCGTCGTCGTCGTCGTCGTCGTCGTCGTCGTCGTCGTCGTCGTCGTCGTCGTCGTCGTCTGCCAGCGTGAGGGGAGGGGAATGGGTACGCCAACCCCTCTCCTGCCCTGTATCTGGGAGGAGGGGGGAGTCGTGCCCTCCCCCCTTCCCTCCCAGGCGAGGATGCGGGTGGGGGGTCCAACCGAAAATGGGACACTTTACAACCCACTAGCACAGCTACCGACCATTCGGACGAAGCCTAGCCACCTTGGTGCCACTCCCAACCAACTTGAGAGATCTCAGTCTATACAACTTCCGTATGGAAGTCACGCTGCTTGAATGAAAATTCTTGACGATTCGCGTACCCCCACCAGCTCACCCAGACACGATCGAAGGCTTTCTTGAGGCCACTCGGAGGCTATCTCGAGCCATGCTCGTCTAGAGGCTGTCGGAAGATATAGTGAGCCATGCTCAGCTATCTTGGGCCACCTTGAAGCTGTCTTGAGGCCTATTGGAGGTCTGTCGGAGGCTACCTTGAGCCATGCTTGACCTCCTGAGACAATCTTGGGTGTAGGAGGAAAGGAGGAGGAGAAGGAGGACAGAGGAGGAGGAGGAGGAAGAAGAGGAGGAGGAGCAGGAATGCGGCACGAGGAATATGAGGAGGAGGAGGAGGAGGAGGAGGGAAGCGGCACGAAAGGAGGAGGGAAGGAACGTACGATGACAAGGAGGATTAGAAGTGGGGCGTTGGAGATATGTTGTTGTGAGATGTTCCTGAACGGACGATTCAATCCATCTTAGAGGGCTCTCTTGGGGTCCCCGTGGGGCCTCTTGAAGCATTCTGGGGGCCCTCTTGGGGCTCGTTTTGGGGGTATGGGGGCCCTATTTGGGCTAATTGGAGATTTCTGGGAGGCCTCTTGGCCCTCATGGCGTCTTGAGGCCGCTCTGGGGCGTCTCTTGGGCGCTCTTGGGCTGTCGTGGGGCGCCCCCTCGTTGGGCTCTCTTGGGTCATCTTGGGGCCGTCATGAGGCTTCAAAAGCCGATCGAAAGCGAGAAGGCAACACATTAATTTGCAGTATGTGGTTGAAGGGCCTGGGCCTCCCGGAGGGTGCCCAGGAAGGATCGAAGGACACTTGGGACCGTCTTGGGGCTGCCTTGGGGCCTCTTGGAGGTATGTAGGGGGTTAGTGAACCATATTCGGCTACTCCAGATTTCGTAATAAAGGGAGGGGGGTCTCATTTCGGGGGGGGTCTCTTCCAGGCTATCTTGGAGGGCCTGGGGGTCTGGGGACGATGTTTTGGAGGGTTCTCCCACGGGGGAGGTCTGAAATGGCTTGTCTTGGAGGGTCCAGACCCCCTCCCTTTTATTACGAAATCTGGAGTATCTTGAGCCACCTTGGAGGCCGTCTGCGGCTGCCGAGGGCCCTCGTGGATCCATCTTGGGCCCACCTTGAAACTCGAACTGTCAGGGCCCGCCGCCCAGGCCCAGGGGAGGGGGTATGGAGGAGGGGTCAAGCTACTCTTCTAGACAGCAGGCCGTCTAGCTCACTCCCACCCGTACTCCCAACACACAAGCAGCACCCGAGCCTGAGCACGTTCGGCGGTCGTCTTTGGATGGGCAGATACATGCAGCTAATGGGAGCCAACACCGACCCCATGTGCGCGACGCTGGGGCGAGGTGCGCCACGCGTGCCAGGCGCGCCACACGCGCCAGGCACCCCTGGGGCCCGAGTGTGCCAGGCACGCCTGGTGCGCCAGATGCGCCACGTGCTCCGCGTGCGCCAGGTGTGCCGAATACTCCAGCCGCGCCAGCTGCGCCACGTTCGGGGCACGTGCTGGGTGTGTCAGGTGCGCCTGCGCACGTGACAGCACACATCGGGAAACATGTCGCCCCCCACCATATTTGTCGAAAACCGAGGCCCGTCATTGTGTCTGGTGGGCCTGCGCACAGCTAGCCATACGCCACCACCCCCACCGTCCTTGTCAAAAACCAGTTGATAGTGTTCGCGGGGTGGCCGCGCATGATCCACATTTAGCCGCGAGGCGCATGTTGTATTGTTTTTGTTAGAAATGGTAACCCTGCGCACAGCAGGCGATCTGCTGTCACCCCCGCTGTCCCTGTCGAAAACCACACAAAGTGCTCACGGGCCTCACGAACATGACTCAAGACTTCCGCCCCAAAGTGTATGTTGCATTGTGCTTTGACAGAGATGGTGGGGGCGGGGGCGCATCGGGCTGGCCGCGAATGCTCCAAATGTGGAAACAGTGCGTTGTATTGTTGTTTGACCGGGATGGTGGGGTGGTGGCCCTCATGGTGTCCTCATAGTTCATGGTTGTCTGCCGGTCGCCTAGGAGAGGGGATGTATATTAATAGTGAACAGTTGAGCAAGCTACTGTACCCTCCTAGATAAAGGGCCGTCTAGCTCACTCCCACCCGCCCTCCGAACACGCAGGTGACACCCGAGTTTCAGCGGATCTCTTAGGAACGCCACACATGCCATGCGCGCTACGGGTTCCAGGTGTGCACATGCACTCTGGAAACCCAAGCGTGCCAGGTGCGGCACATGCTCCACGTGCGCCAACTGCGCCACGTGATCCAGCCGCTCCAGGTGCGCCAGCCATGAAGGACCAAGAGGGACCCCAGGTGCCTGGGGCCTTGGCCCCCAGGACTTCAGGATCTCGAATACCCTTGAAGCGATGTGCCGAGCATTATGTCAGAAAGGGCGGCTCCTCCAGGGCCGCATAGCACCGACACCGATGGACAAATTGTGACATCTTGAGGAGTCGTGAAACAGATGAGAGCTCTGAAAAAGGAAGGCCCTGCGCATGCTCCAGATTTAAAGTCAACGCGTATATTGTTATGTTGTTCAACAGGGCTGGTTGTCTTATGCGCAGCAAACAATATGCGGCACCCCCCGCCGTCCCTGTCAAAAACACATGCAGAGAGGTCGCGAGGCGCTGGCGCATGCTCCAATTGTGGATGCAAAGTGAATTGTGTATTGTTTTGTTCAAAGGATGGTGGGGGGTGTTCTCGTTGTTCCCCGTTGGCTGCTGGTCGCCTAGGGGAGGAGGTGTTTGTTCATAGGGACACTGATAAGCCCTTCCCCCGAACAAGAGAAACATGAGGAGAGAAGACAAATCTCGCGAGACCACCTGGTTCAAAGGGCTAGTGGAATTATAATCTCTCATATGTCATCTGGCACGAGGGCAACTCCCACAACAAATCCTTACAATGTGCATGTGTGTGCCATACAGCTCCAATGCGCAAGCGAACAGCTCTCACATCGAACATGCACAATTCGAACACGAAGCCGGTACAGCTTTCACATGATAGCTGTACATGTACTGATGGAGCCTATTCAATTCTCATTGGCATATCATGCAAGTGCCACATGAAGCCCAAGAGCTCTCGATTGTTCACCGAAGCACAATCCGGCAACATGTCTCATGACTCATTAATGTATTTCATAGTTTGGCTATACACGCATCGCATGAGTGAGCCACACCCATCAAATGCACCCTATGGAGCTCCTATGCACGCCCATAAGCATTTCGACACATCACGTAGCAGCTGAAGGTTGTCAGTTGGCATTGATGCAGTCTTCATATGATCCCTGTAGTTGTTGTACATGGGGGAGCTTCACGCTTCTCACACGAGCACTTCCA